GAGGAGGTTGGTTGAGGATAGGGTTGCAGGATTCTCATTCACAAGGTTGCCATAGGTCAAGGTCAACTTGAAGGCAGTTAACAGCAACAAGTGTCTTTTTAGATTTTTATTTCCAGAGTAAATATTCCTGTCTTCTTTAGCTCACACATTTGAGTACTGAAATTTTTGTTTCATTTCTTGTTTTCCAGTACCTAGTGTCCACTGATGCATGCTTTTCACACTCCATGTTCCCATCATATGTTTTGCACAGGTTTAGACTTCCTTTCACCTCTGAGCATGTCAACAGCTGAACATCCTTTCAGCTTGAGTCCAACTGCACCATTAGCCAAAGTGCTACTCATAGTTGTGCTCTGCTCTTTCTCAATAGCTCACTGTGCCCTATAATCTTGGAGTTTCATCTGCTCACAGTATCTATTGCTCCATTTTGGATTGTCCCATCATAAGGTTTTTGTGTAAAAGACATTCACAGAAGTGGTTTACCTATGCCTCCTTCTGTACAGTACTAAGAAGCACTAGCAATGGTGTCACTGCCATTGTCTTTGGGAGATCTTCCACCAATAGGTTCTCTCAAGAGATCCCAGTAGGATCCTCAAGTGTAAAGATATTTCATTATATACTAGGGTTAGGACTGTCCAAGCCATTGTATTTCCAATTTCTACATATGGTTGTGAAAGATGGACAGTGAAGAAAGTGAATAAAAAGAATATCAACTTTGAAAAGTTCCAGGCATACCTGGAACTACTAAAAAGACAAATAAATGGGACCTAGAGAAAATCAAGAAATGTTTTATTCATGTTGTATTCTTTTAGTTTTGTTTGTTAATTGTGTGTGCACATGCATGTGTGCGTGTGTGTCTGGCCCAACTAGTTCTTCTGCACACCTCTACTCTAGACTTGTTTGACAGGTCCTTGATCTTCATTATGCTATTTACTTTAGATATGCCCTCCAACAGACCCTTGGGCCTTCCAAAAACAGATGCCTGGAATTGCACCCAGGTGGACTCTATTCAGTTCCTGAAGACAGTGGATTGCATATGAGTTGCTTTAGGCATTTCACAACAAAGGGAAAGAATACTCATGCAACTGACAAATGCCAGGGTTTTGTTATTGTTGTTTACTTGACTTTTAAGCCAAAATAAAAATAATCATATTTTTGCACTTCCATAGCATTAAGTGTTTTGTGTAATAATGCTGCCAACTTCTTTCTTTCAGTTCTTTCAGTTAGTCTCAAAGGTGCTACAAAATCTCTCTATATGTCAATTAAATCCACTTGGATTCGAGGCTGTAGCACATTGAAATGTAGAAAAGAGTGTGAACACTTTACAAGGCATTGTGTCTCAATGAGTTGTGGTGATGACCTAGAGATCTCAAAACATGTTCTAACAGGTTCTGCTAGACTAATTAGGCTTTTGGTACAGCCCCAGAGCATCCCAATTGTGTGTATGTCATCTGATGCAGAGACTTGTCACCAAAAGAATGGCCCCCAGATGACAAATTGGCCTGTGTGTGGATTAGCTGTGTCCAGCATAATTGGAGGGATTGCTCATGTTAGAGAGATTTTCAAGGTATAGAATGACTTTGTGAATCTCTGTACATGTCCATGTGTACATATAAGCTTATGTGGTGGCTGTTGCACCCTTGACTTTGACCATCATTGTCTGTTGTACTTTCCTCACCCCTTAACCAGAATGGGCACCAGCCACCACTGAAACTATCTGTCTACTATTTCAGCCCTCACAAGGTACAATACAATGTCTGCAAAGCTAATACTTCCAGGCCCTTTAAGTAAAAAAGGGCTACTGTTTGCTATATATCATCTGGAACACTGTTAATTGAACTGAGAGAAGAATTTCTAAAGCTCTTATGTTCCCTCACTCCATGCCTGTTATTATTATTATTTTTTGGGGGGGGGGGGCTTATTTTTCCATCTATCTTATCCTGTCCATTTTTGATCCCACACAAAGTTTTTCTTGCTGTTGAAACACTTCAGTGGATTATATAGCTTTCTTTTCAAAATTTCATCCCTTCAATTCACACCAAGTACTGTACCAGCTGCTTGGATTTCTCTCCTTAACCTGGACCAGGTGCCACTCAAATCCATGACACTATAAAAAGAGAGCAGCATGAACCACCGTGGAGAGCACTAACAGAAAATGAGTCCTTGGTGATGAAAATCTGACAGCTCAGTATCAATCCAGAGACATCTTGCAAAACACAAAAGGAAACAGTCATTACAGTGTTGTTTCCTTGCTGTGTAGGTGGGTGACTGCCATTAAAGTGATGGTGTTAGAGAAAAATAACAAGTATGACCTTTTAGAAAGTTTTTATGGGTTGAGTCTCCCTTATTTCAAATGCCTGGGACCAGAAGTGTTATGGAGTCTGGATTTTTTCAGATTTTGGAATATTTGCATGTGCATAATGAGATATCTTGAGATAGGACCCAAGTCTAAACATGAAGTTCATTTATGTTTCATATACTCCTTGTAAACACAGTCGGAAAGTAATTTTATACATAATATTTTAAATAATTTTGTGCGTGAAACAAAGTCTGTGTATACTGAACCATAAGAAAATAAATTTGTCACTGTCTCAGCCGCCTAAGTGGACAATTATGGCTTCTGGAGTATTTCGGATTTTGGAATTCTAGATAAGGGAGACTCAACCTCTAGTAGGTTTTTTTAAAAGGAATACTTACTTCCGGCAACAGTATGCCATGAAGCTCCATTTACAGTTCCATCTTCCTTCTGGAAGTCCTCTGTATGACATACTCTCCTTCGAGCATCTGTCATTAGCCGATGAGTGGAAGCATAGGAATATGCCAGCCACCTAAAAACATGATCATCTGGAGTCGGTGTATGCTCTTGAGTTTTCCACGTAGACCGGACCATATCATAAGGATAAGCAACAACGAGTTCTCCTCCTTGTAAGTTACCCCCAAGCACAAATGGATTTTTTTCCATCCATGCTATTACTGCTCGTGTTTCAACTGCCACCTAGTGAGGGGAGAGGCAAAAATAGGGAGAGAAGAAAAACAATTAAGCCAACTCAGGAAATCCTTAGTGTGGAACAATTAGCACAAGCTTGCCAGAGGAACAGCAAAAATGAAGCTGATTTTTTTTTAATAAGCGAGAACTTTTCCACCATATCTGGAACAAGGATTCAACCCATGCATAAGTATCCTGGGCTCTTGAATATTAGAAGCACTGTCAACATCAACATCAATGCTGGTTTAATTGAATCTATCAAGGCCCTGTTATTTGGCATGAGTCAAATAAAATGGCCTGCCCTCATCCTCTGGGTGCAGATTTCAGACAACGGAGGGCTCAGTCCCTAGGTCTGGATGATCTCTAGCATGTTCGGCACCAAACCTGGGTTAGACCACCCTTATAAAGGAGTAAAAAAGTAATTAATTGCTCTATATCCCTTTGTTTTGATGCCAGGAGGCTATTTACATATACATCCTGCTATGCCACCCAGTGCACCTGCTGCTGACATGCATCACTTGCTCTGATGTCAGGACAAACACTCAGCCATGTGACTGAAGCTGAATGCCTCACTCTGGCTTCAAAGTGGGTGATGCACAGAAGTGGCAGCCATGCAGAGTGTGTATTAGAATAGCCGCCTGACACTGCACAGCAGGACATGCATTAGAACAGCCATCTGACATGGAACAGAGAGCTCCAGATAAAGGGACAGACTGGGGCAACTCTGAGACCAGTATCTGCCAGGCTACTACTGAAGTATCCTGACCCATGCAAACACCCCACTGACAATAAACATCTAATTTATTTTTCTTCCATATTGTTATAGAATGTGATGACCTCATATAACAATGGCTAGGTGATATGATTTTTCTTTCTAAAAATCTAAAAGTGGAATTAAATCGATTTTATCTGCAGGTGCCTAGATTATACTGAGGGTATTTTTGACCAATCAAAGGACTTTCTCCATTCTGCAAGTAATGGTCTACTATGACTGTGGACAGAAGCCATTACACTGGGGCACATCAGCAACTAATATGTAGCTGATGAATGGAACCTACTGTTTACCATCAGTAATGGACTGAATGATGGAGAACAAATTGAAACTCAATCCAGACAAGGCAGAGGTACTCCTGGTCAGTCGAAAAACAGAACAGGGTACAGGGATTCAGCTTGTGTTAGATCGGGTTACATTCCCCTTGAAGACATTCAGCTTTGAATCTGGAAACTCTGGACTAGGAATGGGAAGGGCAGTGATGAAAGAACTAGACAAGGTCATACAGAGTAAAGGTACACAAGTGACCACTAAAGTTAGAATAGTCCAAGTCATTGTATTCCACAGCACCATATGCAGATGTGAGAGCTGGACAGTGAAGAAAGCAGATAAGAAGAATATCAACCCATTTGAGATATGGTGCTGAAGAAAAGTGCTGAGAATACCATGGGCTTCCAAAAACAAACAAACAAATGAGTCTTGAATAGACCAAGCCTGAACTCTCCCTGGAAGCCAAAATGATTGAATTGAGGCTGTTGTACTTTGACCACATCATTAGAAAAGACAATAATGCTAGGAAAGGTGGAGGGAAGCAGAAAGAGAAAGACCATACACCAGATGGATAGACTCAATAAGGGAGGTGATGGGCCTGAATTTACAGAATCTAAGCAGCGCAATGGAGGATAGGAAGCCTTGGAGATGTCTCATCCACAGAGTCACCATGGTTGAGGTCAACTCAAGACAAGCTAACAACATCAAATCTGGGGGGGGGGGTCAGGAATGCTATCTTTTCATTTGAAAATGAGAACTCAAGATGACAATCCAGGAGTGAGCCAGGATTAAGAAGCAGAAATCAGAATCATAAAACCAGGATGAAACTGAGAAGGATCAGGAATAGGCAAATGCTCATACAATCACATTTCCTGTGAAAAATGTCTAGTCAACTTTTATGGTTATTTCTGAAACACATAACAAAATCATAATGATTGATGCAGTTTGTTTTAACCTGAGGGGTGTGTGTGTGGAGCCAGAGTGGTGTAGTGGTTTGAATGTTGGACTACAACTCTGGAGATCAGGGTTTGATTCCTGGTTCAGCCATAAAACCCACTGGGTGAATTTGAGCAGGCCACATCTCTCAGCCTCGGGAGAAGGCAATGACAAAACTCCTCTGAACAAATCTTTCCAAGAAAACTCCATGATAGATTTGCCTTAGGGTTGCCATAAGTAAAAAGGGACTTGAAGGCAAATGACAACAACAGCAGCAACAACACAAACACGCACATATATTCTCTTATTGTATTGCATTGCACTTATTGTCCTCTTACTTTAATTAAAAAGTACCCAGAGCAATATGTAAGAGTAAAATCACACAGACATTCATACAAAACTAATTAAAAATTGAAAAACTACAATAAAGTAAAATTCACAGCTCAACACAAATGCTCAAAATAACTAAAAAGCAGCAGTAGATCATGTCTGTCATTGTTTTATAGAAAATATAATGGCAGAAAAAGAAAGCCTTTGCAGATAGAGCTTAGAAAAAATACTTTTTGCACTAAAACTGTCAGAATCCTTCAGCCAGTACTAGTGGGAGGATTCTGGGAACTGCAATCTTAAAAGGTAACTTCTACAGGCTTGGATTACAGGAAGCCATTTTCTTGATCATGAAAGCTATTTACAGAGGTAGTTAGGCCTCTTGGGCATGTATTATGCAAAGTGTGTGCTTTGATGATAAATATTACAATTAACATTTCAGAAAGTGTGTGGTATAATTGTCAATGGCATTATGATTTGTGTAGGGTTTTCAGGTATTCAAAATGCATAACATCATTTATCCAGCTGTAATACTTGCAACACTCATGTTACAGGAGTCTTACTGTCTTGTAAGGTAAGCTATTATTATGTTTTAATAAATGTTAATTTGTGATGCTTTACTAAATAAATAATAGATGTTACCATCCATATCACAAATAGTGAGACTGAAGAGGGGTAAAAAGGCCTTGCTTAAAAGCATCTAGCAGTGGTAGCTTTGTATCATCAAGTGGTACAATGGAGACACTGATTATGAGTTATGCACCATCCAAAAAGGTAGAGCTCGGGGATGTAGTAAAGGGGGAGGCAGATTTGGGCATTGCCCCCCCCCCCATAAGAATTCTGCCTCTCAATAAATTTTCTTTAAGTTCCTAAACTGTGCTGGTCTATGACCATAATAAAAATGAACTGAACTGAACTAAGTACCTAAATTTCTAGCCTTGCAGTAACTTAAAATTGCAGGTGAGCATTTAGAAATATAGTATAGGCATTCAAAGAAAAGAGAGCCAGTGTAATGTAGTGTTTTGACTGGAGTACCACTCTTGAGGCAATGGTCTATATCTCAGGTTGATCATGGAAACCTGTGGGTGACCTTGAGCAAGTCACATGCTCTCAGCCACAGATGAAAACAAAGGCAAACCCCCTCTGAACAAATCTTGGGGGAAAACCAAATAAACTCCATGATAGGTTTGCCTTAGGGTCATCATAACTTGGAAATGTCTGTGTGACAACCTCAACAACAATTCAAAGAAAAAGGGGCAGGCAAAATGACCAAAGCAATAGAAATACAGTGGGCCCCTGATATTTGCTGCGGTTTGGTTCCAGGGGCCCCTGTGGATACCAAAATCCATGGATGCTCAAGTTCCATTAAATGCCACTGTGTAGTAAAATGGTGCCCCTTGTATAAAATGACAAAGTCTAGGTTTGCTTTTTGGAATGCATATATCTATGTTGGCAAACCTATGATATGTGTGCCAGAGATGACACATTAAGCCATTTTCTCTGGCATGTGGAGTGGGGAAGAGGAGGAAAAGGTGTGTGCTTGTTCCTCCTTCTCCCAGCCATCCCAGGCCTTCAGTGCCTCCAGAGAGGCAGCTGAAAGCCCAGGAAGGTGCGCGGAGGAAGTCCTGCCCTGAAAGTCCCCCTGGAAGTCCCACCTTGGCATTTAGTTTAGACACTCAATGCCAAAAATGTTCACCATTACTGGTATATATTTTTTTAAATATTTTCAAGTGGTACATGCTTGAATCCACAGATAAGGAATCCATGGATATGGAGGGCTGAACTGTACACCAACTATAGAAGTTCTAAGTGTGAACAATTTTCAGTGTTTCATTCCCTGTAATGCTAGAAATTTGGTACTCAAGTCAAATTTCATTTGGGAGCAAAATTAGTCCTTATTTTTCCCACTTCCCATAAGTATACAGTGGCACAACTGCATGTGACATGGTTATACTACACAACTGTGAACTGAATATGGATGTTACATATGCCAAAAAATGTACAAACACATGCATAAGAAAATGTGCATGTGCATACAACCTACAACACCAGCCTAGGTCAGATCCCTAGCAGAACCATGGTAAGATTTAGTACAGAAGTAATGCTGTACCTTTGGCTCTAAAAAAAGAAATGGCATTCAACACAAGAGAGGAGAAAACAGAGGTTGAAAGGTCTGGTCAGCCTAAATCTAGCAGATTAGAAGTTTTATGTTTCCAGTAGGCCATAGTGTTAACAAATTCATCCACCTTCCTCAGCTACACTGTTATGTACACAACTGCCACTAGCACCTGTTAGCAGTACTCTGATTATAAAAGACAGCCTTTCTCTTTCTCTATCAGTCATCACCCACAAAGGCAAAAACTACTAAACTTTTGCAGTCTATATTCCAAGCACTGCTGGTATACACTAATATCTTTAGACTGCTGGGGCTTTTGCTAAAGAAAATGCAATAGTAAACAGCTAGAAAGAAAAAAAGCACCAAATTAAATTAATGTATTATAAAAATGCTAGCTACGGCGTTTGAAGTAATACCCCTTAAGAAGGGTTTATTTAAGTGCTTTCTCCTCATTTCACCTCAAGTTGGTTATGTTCAGCCACTGGGAAAAAATGTTCAGCGCCCATATACAACGAGTAAAAATGAAGTAATATTGTTGCATGGTTAATTAATGCAATTTACTCAACACACAGTGGTCTGCTCATTTGTTCCTTAGTTTATTATTTAAAAGAGTCACTACCCCACTCCCTTCCTGGCAATGGAAATTTTTCAGCCAAACCTATCCCTTGTAGACCATTCTGAAATCTCAGAGTCTATATGGTAAAGGAAAATTTAAATTCATCTTTCAGGTTATTAACTGGACAAAGTAGAATAACTGTAAAACATTGCTGAGGGAGGGCAGTAGTCTTATTCTCATTAAACTAGATGGAAGAAACTATGATATTTTATTAATAGCATTATTGTTATTGTGTACCTTCACACTGTTTTTGACTTATGGTGACCCTAAGGCCATAGAGTTTTCTTGGCAAGATTTGTTCAGAATATATTTGCCATTGCCTTCCCTTGAGGCTGAGAGAGTGAGAACCCAGGGTTACCCAGTGAGTTTCATGGCCAAAGTGGGAATCTAACCCTGGTCCTCAGAGCTGTAGTCAAACATTCAAACCACTATATCATACTAGCTTTAATACCATTTGAATCCTGTCAATGAATTGTTGCTGTTGTTGTTGGTGTGTGTGCCCTCAAGTCATTTCTGACATATAGTGACCCAAATGTGTGACATGCCTAAGGTCACCCAGTAAATTTCCATGGCCAAGCAAGGAACTGTATCCTAATCTCCAGACCTCCAGTACTCCCACTACTACACCAAACTGGTGCTCGGCAATGACTTAGGGATGTACATTCTTCATTCTTATTGATTTAGGTCATCTGACATCTCAACAGAGAATTTTAAAGTCTCAGACAATGTCACTGTCCAAACTTAGTGTTCTCCTCTTTTGGGAAACAAAGCACACAAATGCAGCAAGCCTAGAATGACTACCTGATTGTTAACAAAGGGCCTTTACAGACTGCTAGAAGTAATGCAGCTTGAGGCCACTTTAACTGTCTTGGCTCAGTGCTAGGGAATCATGGGAATTGTATTTTTTCTGGGACACTGAGCCTCCTCTGTCAGAGAGCTCTGGTGTCACAATAAACAACAGTTCCCATGATTCCTTAGCACTGAGCCAGGACAGTTAAAGTGGCCTCAAACTGTATTATTTCTGGTCTGTAAAGATACCTAAACCCTATCCATTGCTTCTAATTCTTACAGGCCAACAGAGGAGCACCCTTCATTATTTTGGCACAGTTGTGACATTGCACAATTTTGCTTGATTTATGCAAAACATACTTCTCATATTGGGAGTGACGTAAATACCCCTCATCAAATAATTTTGTGTCCACTGATCACTGTATGTGTGAACAAGACAAGCAAGGATTTGTATCCTTAAAAGAAACATCTTTTTTACTCACTTTCCATGTTGTTTCTGCCAATGAAATGAAGGACCACTTTTAGCCACTTTATATAGAGATTATGCTTTTCTTGATGCCAGTTTTACTTACTGTAGCATTTTCAGATAGGTACCATTCTGGAATTGGAATGTGATGATTTGGGACCTTTCTCTGAACCTTCCTTCGATCTTCAGCTTCCCAAAGCAAAGTATTCAGGTCAGGGAAGTTATTGTTGATATCTATGCCATCCTGAGTCCATCGACCTAAAGACCATCCTCCTAATTCTGAACCCTGTAAATCAGTTATCAAATTATTTAGCACTTTTTTATGACAGCAAAAACTTAACAGATCTTCTAGTGTCAGACGTAGGCCAGGATCCAGCAGTGTGTTTCCACTGGATTCTACCACTTCTGAATTAGAATTAGAACTTCCCTCTTCAGCTTTCTGTAACACTGAAAACTTACTTAGGGTTTTTTCCAGCCTTCCAAAGTAAGTGTTAAGGCATTAAAGAGGGTGAGGAGAGAAGAAAGAAACACACACATCCAGGTCCACTGGAAAATGCAAGGAAATCCAGTAGAAGCATAATGTTGGATCCCAGTCTTTACTTCTTAAAGAAATAAGACAAGTCTCCCAAATGCCATTGAAAATGGCAGCATTTTAAACATATTGCAAACAAAGATGCATTTTTTTGGGGGGGGGGCCTCAAAAATACCCACACTCCTCTGAACAAAGGAACAGTAAGCATGTTTTCTACACAGAAAAAAAAAGTATTTCTCCACAGACAAATACTTCCAAAGAAAGA